AAAATATAAGGGAAAATTTCCCTTGAAATCCACATGTAAGAGTATTTTGAAATTTCAATTTTAAAACGACGCTATCCCATGAAGCTTCGCGCCCTTGCATGTAAATTAGGCACCAGGCTTCCAGTCAATGCGCGAACTATTGCTTCTAAAGAAAATCATATCTAATTATCTTATATAAGACTAATATTATATAAGAAAATATTAAAACATCTTATTTAAAGAATCTTAAGTTAATCAGTTAAGTTATTATTAGAAAATATTTTTTGTTTCAAGAACAAATTGTCTTGAAAGAAATATTTTTCTAAAATCAATCATGATCTTTTCTCTTCATGTAAATTTTTGGGACACAATACTGTAATATTGTAGTATAAAGTATAAATAATAAACTAGGCTTAAGTCAATAGGTTTATCACATTCTATGATATACTCTATAGAATATCCTATACTATTTCATTATAGAAATATTCTATAGAATATGCTATTGGATGTTTCATTTGAATGTGCAATAGAATATTCTATAGGATCTGGAAGTTCTATAGAATATGGCAATAGAATATTCTATAGGATCGCAAGTTCTATAGAATATTCTATAGGATATAGAATATTCTATACCATATTCTATAGGATTCTATAGAACATTTTCGTAAGGGCTGATCTAGTGATGTGAATACATTTACAACTTACAGCTCCTTTATACAATAACACACGGACCCCACGCATATGCATTTTAAGGTTAACGTTCCTTGCTTGGCTACCAAAATGGCGCGTTTCAGCATTATCTTATCACTTACATTACTCATGAATCATGATGTTTCTTGCACAAACAACTAAATTGTGTACACAACTTTATATTATCATATAAAAACTATCTAATTTGCGCCACTCTCGTGATTCGTGAAGCATAATAAAGGGCATAATACCAGCAAAAAAGGGCATAATTCCTGTGATCGTTCCGAAACCTGACCAATATTCCGGCAGTGAGACATTGCGTGTGATCACTGATCATATATAAACAATTTTGTGTGAGGCGTGAGGTAGGCTAGCAAATTAGCAAATACGGTTCGACAAAACAATCTGCAATTTAATATATTACTTTGTTGCAGTCTATGCACTTAATCTGTTTATAACCCTATGAATTAAACACATCTTTTCTTGGAGGGAGTAACTATATGTTTGCAAGTGTGTTTTTCCCACCCACTTTCAAAATTTGGCACCCCCTTTTCATTTTTGCGCCCTCCAAGAATTGCCAGCTGGGGGGGGGGGTGCCCCCCCTGCGAGCACGCCACTGATAATGTCTACTCATTTCCTGATGAGGTAAACCCCAGGGTGCATTTGGTGTAGTCTAATCGGAAGATCTTCGGCGTAGAGGTACAGTAAGCCTTGGCACGCAATCATCTTTTCTGGTGTACGTAGTGGACTAGTGGTCTACGCTGTTTTTAACATGGCGGCACATAATTACCAATATGAATACATCAAACGGCGTAACAGTGGAATTTTTGCAATTAACTAATTCATACACCCTGGCGTGGGTGAGGGTGAGATGTTGGTGTAACGTTGCGACTGCTTTGGCATATCTTCGGTGTAGCGTTTACACCGAATAATTTATATGTAAAAGACAAATGGGTGTTTAAGTAGTAATTAAAAATACCTAAATAAATAAATCTTGGATTTTGTAATTTGCAAGACATACCCCCATTTATACCCAGGCTCATATTGGTTTCAAGGATATCTTCTTGCCTTGGAGAATTATAAAATTGAAAATTGTATCAACCTGGGGGTAGAATTCTATATCACGGCACCTGTAAACTGGTATATAATCTCTCTAAAAGTATTTTATATCAACATAGCATATAGTTGTTGCAGATACTGTAACATACACAAAGATCATAGATAGCATATACATTAAGATCATAGATAGCATATACATTAAGATCATAGATAGCATATACAAAAATCATAGATGATATATACAAAGGTCTTACCAGTAGATACTAGGATATATTACAAACTCCCCAACAGCCTACTCCTGTCCTGCCACTGGAATAGAGATCTCAAAAAAAAAGTGACACTAGTATTTTTGGGTGTGGATATATATGAAAGAAGACCAATTAATCGCAATATTTGTGTGGATGACCACTATTCCTAGTTCATCCTGCTGGTTCTCTAGCTTACTCCATGTTAACCTTTTAAGTGGCAATGTGCCGAGATGCGCCCTATTTTATTATTTTACTTTGTCTAATATCAGATAATTTTACTTGTCAGTGGGAGAGTGGTGCCATACTCAATGGGTTAATCGGACTATCTATTAGAATGCTGTTCTTAGGGTTTGTAATCCAAGTGAGTATATATACACTTTAAGACTTGACCAGGAACAACTGTAAAAAATGCAGCACAAGGTCATCTGGTAGGAATTGAACCTATGGCCCTGCAATTCTGGCGCAGGGCCGAAGATTCAATCCTACCAGAGGACCTTTTGCTGCATTTTTCGCGGTCATTCCTGGTCAGGTCTTAAAGTGAATAAAAATTACTCACTTGGATTACAAACCCTAGGAACAGCATTCTAATATTAATTCCACCAAATGAAGTGCAAGAAACCAAAGATCCCTTAATTGGACTATCTGCCTATGCACCCTGTTAACCCTTTAAATGGCAATGCGCCCAGATACACCCTACTTTATTATTTTACTCTGTCTAATGCCAAACAATTCTACTTGTCAGGGGAGAGTGCTGCCACTCAAGGGTTAATTTGCTGAAATATAAAATACAGTAATCTACTATATTAAATAGATATTAAATAGTGATCATAAACAACGTTTGTCAGTATATGTGAATGTTTGAATGTTTGTTTTGAATGGTCGCTACTCCATTAATTGTCTCATAGTTGTGATATACTTGTATTAATATGCACTTTTAACAGGGCAGATTATGCCACCCAAGAAATTTTAACCGTGTGTGGCACAGACTTTTGACATAGTTTTAGTGCAAACTATGGGTATTAAATACCATCAAATCCGTTGGTGGCGCGGGGGTTAGTATGATTCAAGGGAAATGCCATTAGTGAATAAGGTATTTCGTACTACATATCTATTATGTATGTGGCCTAGATACCCGAAGATACGAGTTCAAATCACGCTCCAGCCAACAAATTTTTCGTTGGTCTATTGCAGTGTCAGAATAATATGAATTTCAAACTGGTTTTCCCCCTGACATTTCTGTCATAATTTAGGAGGGAATACTGGGGATTACCTACAGTACATGTATGCTATAGATGGCACAAATCCCCACACATGCAGTTGGTCGCTTCTATTGGGATTCCTGCAGCACTCTCTCCTTGATGAGTAAATTTTCTGACGTTGGAGAGGGGGCAGAGTAAAATAATATGGTGTTAGACAGAGTAAAATAATAAGATAGGATGCATTAGGGCACAATGCTAGTTAATGGGTTAACTAAACTCATGGGCTGAAATAGTATTATTAAGCCATTGAGTGCCAGCACTCTTCCCTTGACGGGTAAAATCATCTGGCGCTAGACAGAGTAAGTTACTGCGCAATGCAACTCAATGGGTTAACATGATTTGCAATTAACCTGTTGAATCACGGCCAGCGCTCTCCCCTTAATCAGTAAAATCACCTGGCATTTGGCAGATTGAGTAAAATAATATTAAAAGTAGTGCAAATTGCACCACAAATGTAATTTAATGGGCTAAGAATACCACTTAATTTAATAGATGATTTAATGAAATTCGGTAACTACCAAAATGCAATATGTAGCGCCAGGGAACTAGGTAAATTACCCTAATTACAGTAACCCCTTAATTACATAATTACATTTTACGAACAGTCTAGACTGTGTAACAAACGTAATTACATGAGTTAATTGGAAGGAATTCCTGACAGATTTTATGTTTGCAATGAAATTTAATTACACAATTATGAAAAGTGCTGCTGAGTGTAATTTTTACAAGTACTGTACTATATTCTACAACCAAAGGTCGTAGGTTCGATTCCCACCTTGGCCAGGCATATTTTTCAAGCTTGCCTGGTGTGGATATACACTCAGAGTAAGATCACAAACATTATATTCACCTGAGTACATTACACCAACACAGAAAAAAAATGAAAACTTTATTTCGCTTCCAGAGACCCAGACTGGTGGCGGCAGCTAAAGGACTTACAGACTTTGACATTGTTGATATCAAATTACGTGATGATCTTCCAGAGTGGTTTCCTTCAATCAATCCATTTCGTAAAGTTCCAGCTATTGAGTTTCCTGATGGTGAAGCTATTTATGAGTCCATAATTATCTCAGGTATGTAGGTCTCTTCATGTTTATGATCTTGTAACAACTTGACAACTTAACAACGTTGTTACTGGTTGGTAACAAGTGTGCAACAAGACGTTTCTTGCGTTTTTACGTATGTGCAGTACTAATAGATATAGAATTAATGTGTCACGAAACATCTTCCCACTTTTTTCATGCGTGCCTTTCAAATCCGTCATGTTAAATTTGGCTATAAACAAAGCTAAGACTAAATTTTCATCGTTGAAAAGTTTTGTCTTGCTGTATAATTTGCAATTTGCGGATAGATTTTGAAATAGTAAGTTCTTTGAAGGCACAAAAACAAATGTAAGTGCTGTATCAGTTGTGCATTTACAAAAACGATGAAAAAAACCTATTACTGTAGCCTACACTGGTTCTGTGGTGTTAGCAAGTCTGCCGGACTGCTTCTAAAAAGCTTCACATAATTGTCATTGTACATGCATGGGCTCGATGGCTTCAATTAGCAATACTGGTTATGATGCTTGTGATCTTACTCTGAGTGTATATCCCGGGCAAGCTTGAAAAATATGCCTGGCCACGGTGGGAATCGAACCTACGACCTTTGGAATACTAGCCCAATGCTCTGGCAATACTGGTCATTATTTTCTGGTAATCTATTAATAACGTTTGTTCTCTCATGAATGACAGTAAAATGCGGGAAAATTCCAATTAGCTTATTATAGACTAACACTGAGGTATCAATACTGATGTTCGTATTTTATTTGTGATGTTCTACTAATAGAAGTATAGGAATAGGTATTTCGGACCTGACCATGCACCCCCGGGGAGTGTATATATAATGTGCATGTTATGTACACCATACTGAGTTGCAAACGAATCGCACACAACATTTAGGGTTAGAGAATATATGGTTAGGATGGTATGTTGCCCCAGTGAACTCTAATAAGACTTGAACGATAACTCGGCTGCCATCTTTGAAGCCAAATTGAAGGCCGCCATTGGAGGTACGGCGGCGAAAATACACCTCTTCGAAAAACTCGGATTTCTGCCTTTCTAGCTATGCTAGAACATAGATAAAAAACGTAAAAACATCTACGATACTTGGACTAATGCACAAATCATGTTTGGAAGCCGTAGAAAAGAGTTAACGTTATTTTTTGTGTACCTGAAAGTGGTATTTTGTTCGGCACGGAAAATATTTTGTTATTTTCTTGAATACAAAAATGGTTCCTTTCGAGATTTTGCTGTTAGTAGATGTTGAATACTTAGAACTATTCAGAACATTTAGAACTAATCGGCGTATTTTTGCTAAAAAAAACAAAATTACGAGGAAATTGAACTCTCCCCAGTTCTTTTTTGAAAGTCACAGCGCGCGAACTTCTCCCGGGCGCCGAATCACAAATCGCAAATCACGGGGATTTCTACGGAAAAATCGATTTATTCCCGTTTTAGAGATGTCAAAAAGCACTCAAAATAAACAACTATACCTAGACTTTAATACAAAAAAGGTATTGGTCCGTAGATTTATGTTTCAAAGTATTTTTTTTTAGTTAAAGAGCAAAGTTCACTTCGGCACGTTCAACTAGTGTCGTTTTTTATGAAAACAAACCTGATACCCTTCAAACTTTCGCTGTTGTGAGATGCAAAGCAGTTCTAACTATCAAATAAATCGTATTTGGATTTTTAAAATTGAAGTCTTTTGATGAAAAACGACTTTTCTTGCTCATTTTCGTCAAAAATAAACTTTGACTGAATTTCCCACTCCTCGAAACTCTCCTTACTCCTTTTAAAAGTGCAATTTCCTTGCACGGTTGGCTTCAGGCAAGTATGGGAAAGTTTATCTGAGTTATCGTTCCAGTCTTATTAGAGTTCACTGGTTGGCCCTGACCCGTAACTTGCCCATTGTTGCCGAGATCTAAGATTGGAAAATGAAGATTACTGAACATTTTTATAGCGCAAATTTACACATGGGTATGATCATTGTGCTTTACATCAAGTATTACATAGCTTAGATTATTACATAGCCTAGATTATTACACCTAGATTATTACATAGCCTAGGTTATTAATATACAGCCTAGATTATTTTATCTTTACAACAATTGAGATAATAATACTTTCTTAAGGTTACATGCAGGACACCCTTTTTGGCGTTTTGCCGAAAATCGCTACTGCGCGCTCAATATCAGTCCGATTTGAATAAAATTTTCACCAAATGTTCGCCAGTGTATTCGTACGCAAAATATGGCAAAGTTGTAAAATTAACAAACAATAAAATAATATAAGAATTATTCAGGGAAATCTTAAATCGCGGTACCGTTACGCTTTTGAGTTGTGCTCCAGCTGGTTTTAAGTTATATTTATGAAAATATTATTTTTATACAGTAAAATAGTTGTTCTAAAAATTTGTGTTCGGAATTTTTTGTTTATTTCGTCATTCCGCTGATATGGCGATTTCTTTGACGACTGCAATATATTTCTGAATTTTTGAGTGAATTGCTCATTATTAAAATATCCAAAATTAAAAAAAAGCCTAACACAATTTTGAAACTGACGTCTTTAGCTATGTCCTGTAAAAATTTGAGAAAAATTGGTCAAAACCCGCAGGGAGAACAACGCATTTGAAAATCAGTAATTACCGTAAAATTCTTCGGGAGAAAATTGAATTTGAACATTACATTTTCAATGTTTTTCTTATTGCAGCGAAATGTATTTTATTAAATAACTCTGCGAGTTTTCAATATTTTTCGTTCAAACTTGGTCAGATAGTAGAACTAGTCTATTGCTTTCATGGAAACCAATAAAAAAAATTTAGGCAAAATTAACCCTCAAAGGTGTTCTGTGGCAGGCCCTCAAATTTATGGGGGGCCTGATTGGCAGCGGGCAGGATTTTGGCGGGCTCCGGGGGAGGATTAAGGGCCTGCAGGAAAGCCCGCCTTTCATGACTACAACGCCGTTCAGATTCTGAACGGTGAATACGATCACCTGATTGGTCAATACCAAGTCAGTGGAAAACCGTAGTATTTGTTGATTTCAATATTGTTGCTATCTAATCCTCGATCTAATCTTGAACATCGATTGTGGTTATTTTTTCTTATTCAGTAGCGATACAAAAGATGATCTCACTGGCCAGTCGTCAAGAAATAGCACAGGATAATTGCAAACAATTAACGTGCATGGATGTAAAATTGTAATACTGATTCTAATGATGTACTATATAAAAGTATTAAGCTCAACATCGACGGTTTGAAAACGTGTGAAGGGCGTTCGTCACTGTGGTCCAGCCACTTTTCGTTTGTAGGGTTTCGCGTCACAATATTCCCATTCGGATGACCTAAAAGCACTTTTAATGATTTAAGCACAGTTAATTTAAGGTGACGAACGCTCTTCACACGTTTTCAAGCCGTCTGTGTTGAGCTTACTTCGGTATATCGTCAGAATCAGTATTTACATCCACGTTGTCTGCAGTACCTGTGCTATTTCTTGATGACTGGCCAGTGAGATCATCTTTTGTATTGCTGCTGAACAAGCACTTTTACGCGCAGATTTCGATTCAGTTCTAGACATACTACCCGGAAAACATCGCGGAGAACAAAGCGATTTGATTCAGTTTGGTTGAATGGACTAGCGCCACGGTCAGCGTGTCAGGAATTAACAGTTTACGCTTTCCTGATGTTTCTACATCTTTGAGCTGGTAATGGTGTTGAAACTTCTCGTGTAGTACTGTAGTGTATTAACAAAAGATTTTAATTCCGTTACAAGCTCATGCACTTTTAGAATTTTTCTTGAAGCCAACTTTATGAACAATTTTACTAAAATTGCCAAATTATAAAACAACATTTACAAAATCTGCAATATTGTATTAAATTGTATTATAATATTGAGTTTAATAATTCGCAATTTTGTTTGATTGACATTTTTACGTGCAAGCGAATATTTTTAGAAACCAATTAATTATGTTATGACTGGGGCGTGTAGTCATGAAAGTCGGGCTTTTCTGCAGGCCCTTAATACTCGCCCGGAGCCCGCCAAAGTTCTGCCCGCTGCAAATCAGGCCCCCCCCATAAATTTGAGGGCCTGCCATGCAGGCTATGTGGGAGGAAACCATAGCACCCGGAGAAAACCCACGACTTTCGGCAGAGCGTTGACCGCCGACTCTTTTCACATGAGTCCGTAGCGAGAATCGAACCCACGAACTCAGAGGGGAAATGCGCTCACTCTGACGACTACGAACACTTTCTAGACAGAAAAAGGCAGTTTCTCGCCTACAATCATAGACAAATTTACTCGGACAAACATGGCAAATAAATTATTTTTTGCAACATTTTCATATATACTTCGTAAAGTCGGTCCCCCCTCCCCTGAAGCAATGTTGATGAACACTTCAGTCATTATGGCAACTATTGCGGTATCTGTAGCAACAACATTGTAACGGGGGAGCGGGGAATACGGCTGAAAATGCGTCTAATTATTTGATTGCTTTAAATTTCAGCCATTTTTAATCAGCATCCGCATGTTATTTGTCTAGGATTGTAGATTGCATGTGAATGACTAGTATTTTATATAAGTCTACCTTTACACTGTACCGGATAGTTTTCCGTAGCGATAAAACATCTACAGTGTATCCGTATCTTTAGGAACGACGGAAAGCTGTCTGGCATAGTGTAAACGTAGCTTGCATCAACAGGATGGTTTTGTGTCCAATTTAGATAATCAATCAATATACTCGTGAATTTCAAAATTGCACAACAGTACAGTGAACTTAAAACTACTACAAAAAACAAACGTTGTGGAAGAGAAAGAATGGAGTCGATAATGATATAAATAACAAAATGCCTGGAAAAAAGTGGGTGCATGTTCTTAGTTTTGAAGAGTCTGGTAGACCGAAATTATCGAGCGCATGGAAATTTATATACATTTATTACACCTACCCAGGAAAAGCTGCAAAAAATTTAATCGAGCGAGCCGCCAAATATATTTTGTTATTAAGATTATCATAGTATTCTGGCACTGTAGAGTTCAACAGAAAATTCCTTGTCTCGAGCGAGATTTGAACTCGCATCTACAGCGTCCGCTCTACCCACAATCTCTTTCCCATAGCAATGCCTGTGCGCGGGCTAGGAAGGCATTGGCTCTGGGGAAATAGAATTTTTCCTGTCCTGTGATTGGTTTAACGTTTATCATTAGTGCATGCCGACAACAACCGGTACCCCTACATTTAGGGTTGTTGTTGTTCCCTAGAGCCAATCCCGCGCAGCACAGGAATTGCTCTGGGTACGAGATTGCTCTACCCATTGAGCTGTCGAGTCAATAGGAATGGACCTTTCCCCTTATAACTAAATTTTTGATCTAGTTAAGTCTAGACAAAAATTTCATCACAGCTTGAAAGAGGATCACAAAATTAGTAATATTCCAAAGTTTCGTTGCGAAATGTTGTAAAATGCGGATAATATAAACTTGCGAAATTTGCAATTTTCAGTCATTTTAGATTACTGTACAAACGGGAAATTGATGCCCCAACACCCGATTGGGCTATCAATTTCCCTTGCGTAATACAAAATGACTGAAAAACGGCAAATTTCGCAAGGTTATATTATCCGCATTTTACAACATTTCGCAACGAAACTTTGGAATATTTATTTACTAATTTTCTGATGCTTTTTCAAGCTGTGATGAAATTTTTGTCTGGATCAAAATTTTTGTTATAAGGGGAAAGGTCCATTGGTAGAGAGCTTTATTTAAGTGCACGAAACATTTTGACAACGACTTCACGCTTTTCTTGGCGAACGCGCAGTGTTTCAATTCTTTTTCAGAACTATCCTCAGAGATACGAGAAGTAGTTTCATAAATTATTCTGACACTGCAGAGTACAATGAGAAATTTGTTGTCTCGAGAGCGAGATTCGAACTCGTATTTCCAGGTATCTCTTCCAGGTCAAACGTTGATTTGTCACGAAAATATTTCGTGTACTTAAATTGGATGAGACTCGCTACCATTCCCCGTTGACTCGATAGCTCAATCGGTGAGCGGCGGTCTAGATACCAGATACGAGTTCGAATCCCGGTGGAAACAACGAATTTTCTATTCTTCGCAGTGTGAGAATAATTTGAAACTAGTTTTTCATATCTCTGAAGATGGTTCCGAACGAGGATTACAAACAAACGTTATCATTTTTACAAGACACTTTTTGATTTTCACATTTCATTATTCTTATCAAGTAACTCACTCCCTCCTTCCCACGACTCCCCCCATGACGGTTCCTGCATGAGCCACTGATCTCGTTAATATTTAGATTTACTGGATGAACTTTATCCTGCGAAGCAGTTGCACCCAAAAGATCCCAAAGAGAAAGCGAAACAAAAACTTTTCCTTGAAAGATGTGGAGAAACGGTGAGTTCACTTACACAATATCCCTCTTTGAGTATCTAAACACCTAGAACCGGTTGTATAAAAACGTAGTTGAAGTTAACTGCAGTCAGCGGTAATTACTGTAGTTAAATCCTAACTGTAGTTAATTAACTAGTTAATGTAACTGCATTGAAACGACGTTAGTGGGATAGTTAACTAATCACGTATAGTTAACTGTGCATCAGGCTCGCATGGTGTGTGATTAAACACAGTACTACATAAAGTAAACACTGACAAGCGTTTTGAAGATGTTTGTGGACTGGCATTTTGCAAATAAGCCGAAATTTAATTCAACAGATTGAACAATAAAACTAGAAATCAAGGCAAAAATGAAAGAACAAGGTAGTTTCTCCACGAGATGTTTAAGTTAAAACAAAATGCAGCTGTTCGCGAATTCTATATTAAACCCTAACTGTAATTACTTAGCTACATCATGTAACTTCAGTACGTACATGTAATTTGCCAAGTACAAAGTAAGCAACAAAATGAAAGAGCCAGAAAAATTTCAATTTAAATTCAGCAATATATCACAAAGTGCATAGAGCACTATCCTTGTTTACAATCACGTGACTTTTTATCCAAATGATGGGCAATCAAACAACTTGTGAACATTTTTCTCCTATCAGAATGATTATAGCAAGAAAAACTGAACGGTAATTCCTCTATTGAGTCTTAAACTGTCTCTAAACTCGATCAATACATTAAAATAGCCATCTTTTCTTATACCTCATTGCAAACAAAGAATCAGGAAATCATGAGTAAGTTTTCTATGACAAGGTTTTTTATGTTTGTCAATTTCACGTGTTTTTTCTATGACAAGTTTTTTTGTTTTCCATGATAGCTGTTATTTGCTATTACAACAATAGATCGCTGACCAATCGTGCAAGGGCTCAAATTACTTCGCCAAATTTTCTTCGCTCACCCGTTCAGAGAAACAAAGTTCGTACTTCATTTTAATTTGTACAAGATTCGTACTTTCTGTGACGAGAGAACTTTTTCAAAAGCTAGCTAGCATAGTAGGTTTTGAACAAGTATTAGTACTTGGTATAGTAAAAACTTGGCAACCTTCCCTTTACAGACAGACAAATATATCTTCTCATACTGTATGAAAAGTTGTCATAGAAAACGTGCTCATCTGTAATCGGCTTATGCAACTTTAGTAAAACAATTAATAACCGTAGCTTTTTAGACTAGTATATCACTGCATGTATAAATTGATTGTCACTGCACTTTCAAATAATGTCTGCTTGCATTTTCCAGCTCATTCCATCATTTTATAAACACGGGCTTGCAGACAAGTCTGAAGAAACAAAGCAGGAATTGTTGAAGAACATTGGGAATGTTGAGCAGTATTTAACGGAAAAGAAATCAAAGTATTTTGGAGGTAGGTTTCAATTTTTTGCTAACAGGACGATATAGGCGGGTCTCATCACTGCTCTGGAAACTATAACTGGATGTGTTCGCACTGCTTGTTCCCAGCTTATTGACAAGTTACTACAAGATTGTTGAGCTTAATAGACTTGTTACAAGTTGTTCCAACAACAACTTGTTATCGTCTAATATGTCAACAAGTTGTGAGTGACAACCTTGTGGTAACTTGATAAAATAACAGCATTGTTAGAATTTGTTGACGAGCTTGCTACAAGCCTGTTGCGAACACATGTTCTTGACAAGTTGTGAGATTTTTACGTGTGTGTTGTGGTATTTTGTCTTTCGCTTTTTATTGCTTCCTTAACTCCTTGCTTACAAACTGAACAAGATCCCGTCCCTCGTGGTCATCCGGGTTCTATTACCTTACACACGTGACCAGACTATGATATAAACACTACATGTGTATGTTAGGTGCTTGGCGCATACGTCTCTATGACATAGTGCATATGGCTGAGATGCGAGTTTAAGTGATCACTAACCATAAGCCGCTGTTATTCTTTAAATTGATGATGACGGAAATTGAAGGAGCTATTGGACGTCAGTTCCAGTCTTCTATTGTTTTTGTGTGCGCGGTTAACACGAAGCTGGCTTCACTTTTTTAACTCGAGTTCTCGTTCCAGATATATATGAAGTGTGTGTTACTGTCGAAGGCTGGGGCAGATCTGGCCTTATTTGTTAGAGGAGGTGGAGGTTTTCCAGAGGGGGTGCATCACTACGGGGGTCTGGGATAGAATTTGAAATTTGAAGCCCTGAAAAGCCATTTCCTGCATTCTGAGGACTACATTTATTTGTTAAATTTGCCCTCATGGTAATTGTATTTCAGGCAAAAATGAACAAGAGTGGTGATCCACTGTATTGGTGTTTGAATATTTCTCGCGTACTCGAAAATCAATCGTTTCAATATAACAAGTAGTATTCACCACTCAAAAAGTGGAGAATCCAAATTTAATATGGATTACCATAGTTTCTTCAAGGGCTTGCCGGACACTACTGGGGGGGGCTGTACACCATTAGGAGAGGTACTATGTGCACTAGCTTTTGCGTTTATTTAAAGGATTTTCAGATAAACGCAAAGGAGTTCCTGAGATACTTGGGTCTTAACCCCAAGTCTTCTCGCTATGGACTGGGTACAGATAGGTGTTTTTCACGTCGCTACGAAAAACTATCCTGTGTAGTGTAAACGTGGCCATATACAATACTGGTCATTCACAACGCAGACGAGATACAGCCTTTTTTGTCTAGATCTTCGTTGGCGCAGTCGTTAGAGCCTTTCACCTCGGAGTTTGTGGGTTCGATTCTCGCTACGGATTCATGTGAAACTAGTCTGTCAACCCTCTGCCGAAAGTCGTGGGTTTCTCGGAGTCCTTCCCACAGGGAAAGTTGACAGGGTGGGTTAGGATAAACACAGTTAAGAAAAGTAATCAATTGTTGTAAGATTATATGTAAATAGTCTAGGCTAAGTAAGTGACATAAGTAAGTGTAATACTTGATGTAATCAGTCACTGAAAAGTCCCAATGGGGAGTGAGCTGAATAACAATGTAATGTAATGTATGATTATTATTATTATTCATGACAGGTGACGAAGCAGGGATGTTGGATTACATGATATGGCCATGGTTTGAACGCCTGCCTACGATGTATACACTGTCTGCTGACACATATCCAAACCTGACAGACTGGTTTAACCGGATGCAACATGAACCTGCTGTAAAGGAAACATTGATATCAAAGGAGAATCATTTGAAGTTTTACCATGGGTATAAAACTGGCCAAGTTGACTATGATTTTATTTAATTGAGTAATGTTATTCCAATATCAAATTTGAATTGTAAGCCTAACTATGCGGCTGTCCACATGGACGAGATGTGAGGCGGGGATGATTTTGACTACATGGTTTTTCAAGTGATGTTTTAGTATAAGTGTAAACGCAATGTTGTCCAAGCAGCAATAATAATCTTCTACGATATCTCAGTTCTTCTAACCCGCGCTTCAACCTTCGTTTTTGTTTAGTGATTTATCTCAATACATGAAGCTCATCCCGCCTTCCACCTCGTTCCAGGAAACCTTGATCATGTCAACAGCCCCTTAATTAATTGAACGTAAACCTCTCTTATTTTAAATAATTGTCTTATTACAAAGTATGTTTTAAAATAAACAATTTTGCTTTCTTCTATGAGGAAAAGATATCATATTACTAGCCAACTTAACTAACTAAATAATCCCAAATTATTTTCTATTATTACATTTATAATCCTAAGTGTAATGGAAGTGAAAATGTTCTTTATTATGGCGTGATTTTATAGTTCTATTTTAGTGGTTCTGTATAGTTCTGTACAGTGATATATATGCAGGGAGAACGTTTTCAACAAAGAACAGAGATTATTTACATTTTTACGACAGGAACATTATTACATTTTTATTGTTAAAGTTTTCGTATTTTTTTGGAATGCAAAATTACGAAAAACAAACTGGCAGAATTTATATAAAAGATGATTTTTTTATTATCAAGTCTTTTTATGTACCCACCCACGTACCATTTATCTCTATTCGAGAGCAAAATTTCCTTCAAAAATCTCTTTTTTCTCAAGAATTCTCCGGATAGTGTTGTATATTCTTGTTGAAAAAGTAATGTCTACTTCATGTAATATGAAAAGAGATTTTGAAGACTTGAAAAATCGTCCACAATTTTCAACTATCGGAATATCTATCTTTCTCAGCGTTACTGCGTTATTTCCGCTTAGTTTTATTTAAAGCATCTGGATGGGATACGAAATAAGGAGGCTCACGAAAATGCTTCCTAAAATTTGCATTCCTGTTACACGGCAATGTTACGTCAGTCGGCTTCAAAGGTTTGAACTCGCGCTGAAAACGTGAAGCCAACAATGGCAGAAATTGACCGCCTGTGCCAGTCCCTTTCCATTGTTTTTATCTGCGCGGTTAACAGGAAGCTGCGAGGAATGTGCTGAAATTTTGCGTTTTTGACTTCTATTTAAAGGTCCTGTCACACTATTGCGTATCGTACTAGCGTATGCCAGCGTATGAAAAATATCACTCATACGCCGGTAAACGCTGACATGCTAGGGGTACGTTAGGTATAGGTTGTATACGTTTCAAGCACGGTCGCATACGGTGGCGTACGCTGGCATACGGCGAGGCAGAAAATTTTTTTAAGCATGTTCAAAAATTTTGTGCGTATCGAACGTAATGCTTTATACGATAGGCATACTCTAGGCACACGCTGAATACGCTAGAGGTACGCCAGATGTACGGTACTCATACGCTGGCATTTCAAAAGATTTTTGTGCGTATGAAAATTATTTCATTAATTTTGATACGCTTCTCATACGTTTCTCTCATACGCAATAGTGTGACATGGTCTTAAAGAAGAGTACTGTGGTTTGTGAACCTGATAACGTGATTAGCGATACGATCTGTGGGAAAAACGGGATCTAATTGGGAAATTAGTTTACGACTTTCATAAACATTGAACATCATTTTGCGCCATCTTGGCTTCAGTTTTCTCAAGCCTGACTGCCGGAAATAACCGCCAAATGACTCACGTTTTTACTCCAGAAATATATATAGAGCTCACTGTGATACATAAACCACCATTTCTTGGGCAGTTTAATTTTAGTCATATTAGTTGTTATTGTCAGTCGTGCACTTATGGTCTGCATAAATTATAATACAGCGCGAATTCACTTCTAACATAGCTGAATGCAATGATGAAGCAAAAATAAGTTTTATGATTTATATTTACAGTTTATGATACTGTCGTTTAAATATTTTTTTGGAATGCGTGCCTTAATTAAATCGAACTAAATAAATTTATTCATTTCTTGAAAAACGTACTCCGAATCAAAACTGCTTTGGAAAAAGAGCTAATTGTCAGTGGTGACGTATGAAGTGTCGGAAAGATCACTTCGTGGTGCTAATGGAGCCAAGTTAGACCGAGGTTGAACCGTTTGACTTTGTTGTGACATTTCTGGCGCCACCTCTCTCGTATCGTCGTCGCGCTGGGAGAGCTGGGAACTATCACTTGACAATCTTGCCTTACGCTTTGCTTTCTTAAATACATCAGCCAACGTTTTTGGCATTTTGCTTATAGATGTCTGTTTTGGTAATTTTCCTTTCTTATCTACAGCTTGACGTTTCTTATCATGGATATCTGCGGTTAATGAACTGCTTTCGTCTTCAAAATCGTTTAGAATGGTTTCCTCTTCTGAAGACGATGCCCGATCCTGTGGCATTGTGGGTTGAGTAGTCTGAGCATGCTCAGTGGGGCGGACATCATCATCAGTTGCACTAATGTATTCAAACTTGCTTGGCTCCTCACGTGCTACAACATGCTCTTCCAGGATTCCTTCACGTGAAGGTGGTCTACTGGATTCACGTTGCCTCTTACTGTCAACAGATTTCAAAGATGCGCGTGAATGAGGTCGCGATGATGTCTTCTGTTGCCCAGAAATCGTAGCATATTTACCTTCTTGTCGTTCACGTTTCTTCTGGATGTTAGGCTCAGACAAAACACGTTGTTTAGTTGAACGCCCACTTCGAGATTTTCTTTCGGAAGATGTTGAATGTACACTGATATTAGACGGACGTCGGGTTTGTGTCGTTGACTCAGCTGGGGTGCTAGCTTCATTTTGTATTTGCACACTACCGTTGCTCTTTACCGTCTGTTCCAATGCTTTAAGTCGTATCATAGTAAGTTGAACTGATGTACGAATCTTTGATGTTTCCACCGACACAGTTGTCATCTTTTCCATGAGTTCATCAAGATCTGATTTTTGAGCTTCACCAAAACGCTTACCAAATCTTTCATTGATTAATAAGAAAATATCGTTCACTTGTAATCTCATTTCATCCATTTGTCTTTTCTTATCGCGATCATTTCCTGCCTAGAAGGAGAACAAATGTAAATGATTGTAAAATAATAAGGAATCGGTTAAGAAAGTATGATAGGAATGTAACTACCTAAAAATACAAGCAGTTCTCTCAAAATACTTGTATTTTCAGGTAGTTGTATCAGCTGAACTCTCTTATTATTGACGCTACTTACACCGTTGAAGATTAATCGTTTACACTCTCGAACGCTCTCGGAAGTGTGTCGTAATACCGCAGTAAAATGTGCGAGTGTTTGCACGCTTGTAAGACGCGGCGAGACGTTCCGGAAACGGCAGTTAGGACGGACACATGGTGCGCTGCGTCTACTGCTTATGGTCGTTTGTTCTATTCCTAAAGGTACTAATTAGATTCTCAATGCACTGAAATTAATATTTTTCTGTTAAAATATAGCGTGACAATAAATTTGACATCTTGTTAGTGCTACATATAGTGTCCGAATGCCGATTTACTTGATTATTCGCATAGATTTTCTCAATGTTCTCTTTGATCCGGTCCTACTAAATACTGCCCGGAGCGGCCTGGAGTGCCCGGGGACGCCCTGAAGCGCCCGGGAGAACGTGAGTACGCCCGGGGATATACAAGATAGTATAAATCAATGCACAATCCTTTTTTAGTCTTTTTGGACTTAGTTTATGAGATTTTGCCTCATAGAGATTCAAAAAGATCGTGCACTGATTTATACTATCTTGTATATCCCCGGACGTTCTCACGCGCTCCCGGGCGCTTCAGGGCATCCCCAGGCACTCCCGGGCACTCCCTTTGATCCCAAAAAGCCTAATATTTTTTTCCACCTCTGATTGACTGATGAAAATTTAGGTCATTTTAAGACAGTGATATTATGCAGAAAATAAAATAAAACTCAATTCTAGAGTCTCCACCTAAAGCTGGATTTCATTAAATCTGATACCAGCTGATATGACAAGAAAACCTTTAAATTCTAATTCTCTTCTCGTACACATGTTTCTTTCTCTAATATGTAACACTCTGTGTTCATTTTTGACTGTGATCTCTTGAGCAGATAACGCCATTTCAGGAAAGTTTCAAGACATTTCAATTGTAACTTTCTCATAAAATCTCGAGTCAAAGTGTGCGCCGTTTAACTTTTTATTACAGGTTACCACAGTTGACACGTGTATACATATCTTTTGTTCGTGCTTTAGCCTCTCATACCTCTCAATATTACCCTGGCCCGAGTAGTACGTGTTGTCTGTTTAGCTAAGTAGGGATTGATAATGAGTAAAGAACACTGGTGACTCACTCCCCCAGGAGAATGCTGAACCACTTTTTGTTCTTACCAAGTTATGACGTAATTTGTGTGCCAATAATTGAACATGCAACACCAAAATCCTGGTTATTTCTTAATACCCGGTTAAACGAGGACCAGAGCTGATGAGAGATTCCTGTCACAAATTGTTACTGGCATTTTAAACTCTCGATTAGCAAAATAAATGGTTATAAAGTATTTCAAAACGTCTTAACTTCGAATGAACGATAATGATGGGAAAGCATTAAAACATGTAAATGTTAATTTATACGATACGACTAACTTTACACCATCGCCATTTTGGGTATGAAAATGACTTGCTGATCTCACTGTTGCGTACTATTCGAAGTTTATGGCGAAATTTGAATAGTTACATTTTTATATTCATTTTTTCGAGTACATAGCAATGATAGGTAACCATTAACCAAGGTGGCGTTATTGTCAACTCTCATGTACACTCATCCGCGTCTCATTCAGGTGATTCAGGCTTTAGATAAATATGAAAACAATCTACCTCATCCTGTGCATCATAATCCTTGACTTCAGGACTGCAGTGTTCTCGAATGAAGTCATAATAACTTCGTTTGTGTGTTTTCCTTAGTGATTGTTCTAGATTGAGAATTGTCTTAGCTCGTTGCATCGCTGCATTTTCAATAGCATTTTCATAAACACGTGTAAACGTATCTGCCAAGAGAGCGATGAGGAGGTTTAGTATAATGATGGAACAGATGGAGATATATGAGCCACATAACACTCTTGCCATTGTCGCATCTTTTTCCTCCAATGATTCAAATGCGTAATTATCCAGGACTGTCATGCCGAATACTAAAAGATAGAAAAATAATCGTTGATTAAATAGGAAAAGTGTAGCAAAGAATCGGCAGTTTTCTTTAAAGTCGCTTTACACAATCAAAGTTTCTGTGATCACAGTAGGAATTTTGCACACTTTGTACTCCACACCTTTGTTGTCGGGATTTTACTGCATGTAAATATTTTTTGTAATGAAGAAATGCCATATCAGCCAACCTACATATTATACCATACCAGCTTCTATGAAAGGCCTTGTATATCTAGTAATTTAAGGTAGTTTGATCATAGTTTGAAATAAATATCACAAGTCATTCTCGTCTTGTCTTGAATTATCTATATCTAGAGTTTCAAAATGCCATTCTTCGGATCGTGTTTTATCTTACACTTTTTAATATGGGAAATCTCAAAGGTTCTTGCAGTTACAAGTTGCAATATTTCAATTGCCTTTTGGCATAAGTTTAAAAGTGATATTTGAATTTTAAAAATTTTAATTCATACAAATATAAAAAAAATAAATTGCGAATAATAATGCCATCGTGAAATTCAAGATTTGAATCCGAATTTTTTTCTTTTCATATTTTCTTAAATTTTAACCCAGAGTTAGTGCTACTTCACCTTCAACGGACCCAGTACGAATTATGAACTTTTTTATCTTGATTTATGGCAAAGAAGTGGATTGAAAGTGTGCTTTCTTCCTCAAGATACTGAAACTAGAACCCTCTTCTCCCCCCATCCAAAAAATACATGGCTAACCGATAATTTAACCTGCTGTTTTCGTTTGTGTATTTCTGTGTGTCTGTTTATTCCAAAACATGGAATTGTTGATCCAGACAAGATTTCTCGGAAAATATTTCCATGTTTAAAAACAAAACTGTTGGGAAGATTAATGTTTTGAAGCTTTTATTAACAGGGGATTAAAATATCTGGCTATTGAGCAACCGGTAGCCTGCCCGCAGCCCGCCCATGATAATTTCTGTACAAGTAAATACATGAGAAGTACATATAAATACCTGAGAGTACATATAAATACCGGAGAGTACATATAAATACCTGAGAGTACATATAAATACCTGAGAGTACATATAAATACCTAAGAGTACATATAAATACCTGAGAGTACATATAAATACCTGAGAGTACATATAAATACCTGAGAGTACATATAAATACCTAAGAGTACATATAAATACCTAAGAGTACATATGAATACCTGAATAGAGTAGTTTAGGCAAGGTGTCATATCCTTCTGCTGGGTTGGTGCTATAACCCCCGAAAATCATCCAGAAACAGGCTGTATATGGAATGAAAAATACCAGGAACAAAAATACCCATTTCAAGATGTCGCCGAGCATGTGACTGAAGAGTGCGACAAAGGGTCCGGGACCTTTGAAAGGACGAGCATACTTCATAATTCTGAACCAAATCACGATCAACAAAACACAAACAAAACGGATATGAATGTTGTAAACTTTCTCTGTATCGAGGAAGAAGAATGTTGCATGCGAGATGGCAGATCCCATAATAAGAATGAGAGCAACCCAGTCAATATAAAACCATCCATCTTGAGAGCTTAACAAACGTTCCTCTCTCACAGCTTTTATTTCACCATCTAAATAACGTTTCTCATCCGGCCATCTTGGGTGACAGAACGGCAGATCTCTTTCCAATTCTTTTTCACGATATCCTGGAAAATAAATCATAGGATCTCAGAGATAGAATCCACGGTCACAAGAGAAGTTTACAACTTGTTATCATCGCTGAAAATGAAGCAATCTGATTGGCTGAGGAGTCTTTCAGAGCAGACCGGATTTTTTCATCCAGCAAGCTCAGAAACGCGACCGACTCGCTCTGGTTTGGGTAAAGCAAGTGAAACTGTCGTTCTCGGAAGCAATTGAATTTGTGAATACCGTAATACAAGGCCTAAACGTTTCATTCTTATGATCTTCTACCAGATTCACGAGAAAAGAATGCACATGTTGACTGAAACTGTATGCCTTTTTGTGTGTTTCTTGCCTCGCTTTAAATTAGTTTGTATTGCAATACTGGAATTTTAATGAATTTAACTTTACACCTGCTAAATCATCTAATTTTACAAACACATGTATGTTAGTCCCTTAGCGGCAGCGTCTCGGGCCGTTTTTGAGACCTCGGACACAAACTTTTTATCCGGACCTCACATCCGGTAAATTACATAGATGATTTCAGAACGTAGCCTAAAAGGGTTGACAGCTTGTTGGCAGAGCTTATCCCGCTACGGCAGGAAGCTAGGGATAGCTTTAATTAAATCTTCTGAACATTTTTCGTAATGGTTTCCTCCTGCTGTAAAAAGGCAATGTTACGTAGGGCTCCTGATTGCGCCTGGCTGACTAAGATTGCGCCTGGCTGACTAAGTCTCCATCAATTACAAGTCGTGAGTTTCTACGATAAGCCAGAAATGGACACATTGAGTTGTGTTTAAATAAATACTATTGAAGTCTAATCTGTCTTTGGTATGGCCGCAGAAGGAACGTAGAAAAAGAGTTTAGCCACGTGAAATAACAAGTAGTCAATCTCTATATGCAACATATCATTTTTCACATGCTCCTTCCAATTTAAATAGTGATCAATAATGATTCCCAAATACTTTGAGCTACTCTTTTCTTGTAAGATTTTATTGTAAATTTTAAGATTTATCGAATATTGAGATTTCTTTTGAGGTGAATGAAAAACTACAAAATTAGACTTCTCATTAATTATATTATATGGCACAATGAAGCTTCATTAACGCTATTTAAGACTTTCACTTCTTCCTTACCTTTCCATTTCGTTAATGACTTCTTGACACGATACACGGAAGCCACTTGTTTAAATATCTCAACAAACGTCAGAAACATCACCAGAATGGCTAGTACCAGTCTCCACCAACGCTCGCTCAGAGGTTCATACAGCTCTTTAGCTTTGTGAGGTAACGTCACACCAAGCACCGTCCAAAGGATGGAAAATAGTAAATTTGTAGCTAGATCCAACCATGCTCCACGCCTGCCAAATTTCTGCCATTTCATGTAGATTAACCGTTGCATGACGGGATGCATGACAATATCAAACTGCTGAGTCTGAATGGAAACTTCTAGGGGAGTGCGGGCACCGCTTTTCTAAATAAAAACACGTAAACAACCTTAAGACGAAAATAGAGATTTTTATTTTGAATAACAACCACATTTATTCATTAAGCAAAACTCACAGTTCGCTATAATCTTTATGCGCGCATGTAATATTTAAATGAAGATCAGCGTGCCATTTAATTAACGCTAGGGTTATACATTAATAAAGCTATTAGCACGGCCTTGATAAACATCCAAAATGACATTTCAAAGTCGAAGTAGCTGAGATGGATTTCAGTAACAGTATAAAGTTCATTCCAACGATCTTTCTGGTCAGAAAAAAGTTTTGTGATTCATCCTGGCTATGCGGGTCAGCCCAGCAGCATATAAACGTATTTCATATAAAAATATCACGAGGCCCTTAATAAATCTGATACCTTATCTTCCAATAGCCTTGGACCCTCAAGATAGTTCAAGAAATAATATTCCTTTCTATTGATCATATCTTCTGAATGGAACTGATCCAAGGCGACAAGGGCTACATCAGGCATCTTGAGGATAAGAAGGGATAAAGCAACTTCTCCTTTGATGTCGTAGACTCCGGCAGGTGCTCCCATATCAATGAGGAGTTTAGCGGCTTTAGAACGACTCATTTCAGCAGCAACCTATGAAATGGGAAAATCCAGCATATTTTGTTTTATTCATTTTATCAAATTAATTTAGTAAAGCTATACGTGTAAAATATCATTCGTATCGTCCTTTGTCCAGTCATTCTGTAAAAATGTATTGTCAGTAATTTATGTACAGCAGTCTTATACTGCAGTTTGGACATAGTTCGCTTAACGTTGGTATAATAAAGCCCTGCTATTATTCCTCATAATAAAATACATATTTGGGCAGCATTTGAACTAAAGTGCTTTAATATATTTCGACTAGAAAGCTTTTCGATTCTTAACTGTTGTTTCCCGTTAAGGCCATCATGTTTGGGTCCAGGTGCCGAAGGAATTTAAAATCGTATGCAGCATCCATCGTAAGTTAAGATTTCCCCTCCCTCTGTGCACATTTCTTTGATTAAACAGATAATATGTTTGTGATGTTGTTCTGAGTGTATCCACATCCAGCGAGTTGAAAAGTTTGCTTGACCGCGGTGGGAATCAAATCCGCGACCTTCGGTTTGCTGGTCAAATGCTCTACCAACTGAGCTACGAGGTCAAGTCAGTTCGAGGGTGTGTTATTTCAGAACACAGTCTAGTTCCTTCGATACATATCAGTATCTTTAATTTTATGAACTGGAGTTCTTACAATGATTTTTACGATTGTTGGAATCTTGATCATGTAAGTCCCAACTTCGTTAATGGCTTGCCCTCTGTGTTAAAACCATGCAACGTCATCGTGAGATATATCCACCCTGGACAATGGAAACTTATGCCCGCCCTATGAATTCTGTACAGATTTCTAATCCACTACTGCAAAAGTGTGGAAAAGATAGCAAGTTTCAAACTGCAAACAACTATGCAAATATCTAGAACGAAGGTCCTAGATCCTGTTTCACCGCCCACGTTTTTACTAAATCCATTTCCTAACTATTTTATTAAAGAATTGCAGTTTCAATTGTAAATTTAAAAGAACATCCCTGAGCAAGTGTTTCATTCACGAGTCGCTCTTTAAAACGCAATATCCTTTCAATAGCTCCCTTTATATAGAAATTACTTCACGAATTGGGAGATTTAATTCTTATATTATACTGTCATTTTTATCACAAACTAAGTACATCAATGATTCACTATAGCAGGGAAAATGATTTCGAGGTGGAATAGGCCAGAATGCAGAAACTATCCTCAGAGGTATGAAAGATTAGTTTCGTATTATTCTCACGCTCCAGCCTACGACGAAGAATTAGATATCTCGAGCGGGATTCGAACTTGCATCTTTGGGTTTCTAAATATTGAGCTATGGAGTCAACGGGGATTGGTATCGTGTGTTAATATTCATTGAGATCGTGTGTTAATATTCATTGACAATGTGATTAGTTTGTTATTTACTATTGTACACTGGAAACATTTTGAAAATCTATCGAATGGAAATTGTATGGACCTTTGTTGAAAATAGAATGGATTTTTGATTATTCATAATAATTGTATATTTGCATATACTATGGATACAGTACGAAATGATATGGATATACTATGGATTTAGTGGCGCAATTTCAAATCTCATAGTGTGGACTTCACATTTCCCCCCAGTGGTATTACTTGAAGTATCAAATATAGGGAAGTGTTGATGTTATGACGTATGCAGTCTTTGATTAGAGCTCGCTCTGTTGTTTAACTCCGCGCATCTATACTAATGTACTGAAGCTTAAAACTGAAACTAAAAACTAATCAAATGATGTGCTTGTTATATCTAACGTCTTTCAGTAGGGAAGATTGTAATGGCGTAAAAACAAGCGATTTGTGTTATCCATTTTCTGAGTCCAAAATTAGACAAATAATATTACCTGTAAAGGAGTCCTCTCCTGATAATCTCTGGCTCCCATGTCAGCATCATAAGCTAACAACATCTTGAGTGAAAGACAAGCATCATTCTTTGCAGCGAAATGTATCGGAGACTGTCCTTCTCCTGTGGTCTTGATATTCACGTCCGCGCCATTGTTGATGAGGAACTCCACCATCTTGGCATAATCTACTGCTGCAGCTACATGTAGTGGAGCGCGCCCATATTTATCTTGCTGATCAATACGTGCACCTTGGAGAATGAGAGAATATATATACAGTCAATTCAACAAAGGTTGTCCTTTGCAAACCTTAAACTCTAAGCGCGCAAAGCTTAATGTGAGCACAAGTTTCAAGCTTATAGCAGTTGAATATTGCAACTATTTGTGAATGAATTGTTCTCGTAAGGAGGTATTTACCATGTCTCTGAGAAATATGCTCCATATATGATTTCTAAACTGATTAAATAATGCTCCCATTATGATGCATGCTTAGAGTTTATACAGGTTTATGGTTCAGAGTTTAATTTAAGGTTTGGAAAGAACAACTTTTTTTGAATTAGCTGTATGTATATCAGATAATCACACGGGAAGAAGTGCAAATAATTATTATTGTTAAATAGCTTGGGTGAACCCCATACGTGATTGGCTGATTTGTGATCACGTGGTTGTAGATAAATGCAATGTATCTTGCCGGGGAGCATGTGAAAAATTGTTTCCCGCCCAGACCGCGGCTACGTAGATAAATAAACAAAATGGCGGCATGCACAACTCGCAAGTTTATAAACTACGATTTTCCAAGTTTGTGTTAAAATAAAGAATCTAAAAGAAAAGAAAAATATCCAAACAGGAACAGCATATGCTGCTGAAACCGTTTGAATAGATTCTTTTCATTCTAAACTCGTTTATACACAACAGAGTTTTTTAGTCATGAAATACAGTAATTATTGCAATTCATGCTAAATTCGAATGATTTTTGTTTTTAATTTCTTTGTTCTTTTTGAAATATTTTGGATTTACTTGATTGCTAATTGAATTTGCAAACAAACTGTAACGGTGCAGTGTGAACCGACATGTAAACTCTTCCGGCTTTATTTCGCTCTGGTGTAGTGTTATTTTTATTTATTTATTTATTTATTATTCGCCCAAATCACATCAAAATTAACAATTAAGATAGAAAATATTTAAAAATAGTAGGGCTAGGAACCTTCTAGAAACCAAAAGGCTTTTATTTAACTCTTTAACGACACGACCCTATTACCGCAATGCTTGTAAGCAATACGCTTTGCCGATTTAATATCTTCGGTTCATTGAATGCTGCGTGGACCAAAATACCACCATTCGATTCAGTGTAACGATAGCTACTCATTCCTATCGATAGATTTAGTGAATGGCAACATTATAGCGATTTATGAGCTTTGAAAGTCAAACGAGCTCGTATATTATCAAATTACGCAATATTACTGACA